TCCCCCCCGCCACTAAAAGATTGAAAAACAAACCTAAGCCTCCCTCTCTCCCTTTGCTATTCCACATTTGTTGCCATGAATTTAGGATATCAAATCGCTTATCGCCTGGCAAACAGCAGCCCCAACAAGTTCACCACAGTGGAAGTTGGCTCAACAGTCCGGCAGTTCACTGCTACAGACCTCAACCCAGAATCAGCATACATCTTCCGGACTTCTGCCAAGACCAGACAGGGCTGGGGGGAGCCCCTGGAAGCTACAGTGATCACTACGGAAAAGAGAGGTAGGTAATGCTTGCAGCTATAATAGCGTCGTGTCTTCACCAGCGCAGTGAGTATAATGGAGCGTGTGGGTATGTCTACACCCTCTCCTGAATGAGACCCTGTGGAAAAATAAGCCCCTCCATTTGTGACTGCCCTGTGGATGTCCAGACCCACAAATTCATGGAGCACACAGCTTGACATGACCTGAGGCTGAGCATGATGTTGGGATATAGTCAAGGCCACGCTGAGCCATCTACTTCATAGATTTACATTGCACCTACCTGCACAGTGCGTATGAGTAGAAGGGCTCATTTCTTGGCAGCAGACACAAATCTCATTCAGGAGGCAATAGAGCCACCCCCTGTAATGCACAGCTCTCTCAGTCTGTTGTTCTGTGGGAATACAGGAAACCAGTACTGACCATATGCAACCTCCTACACTCCTATCTTTGCATTCAGGTCTCGCCTTCTCTTCTGAAACATTACAGTCTCAGGAAAGAAGGGTAATGAATTAACTGTACTGATTAGCAGAGACACATGAGAACAGACATTTGTAGGCTTCTTCTACTAACCTCTACCCTGCAGCTCAGTCCTGCCCTAAAAATTTCCTTTATTCCATCCTGTGGTTCTCATGTGTTCTGCCAGGGCACCTGTAACTTAACCATCCAGATCCTGTTCTGGCACATGTCTTAACAAAATGATTAACTGTTTTCCAAACTCAGAGTTGTCTTTTATATACCTGTGCAAGCTAATTGGAAAAAATGCATGGTTGCAGAGGTGTAACTGAATCCAGGTAGTTATGTATGTAGGCGAGAGATTCTCCCAAAATATTGTAGAAATAAGGCATATCAAAATCTGGTCTATATAATCTGTTAGTGGCATTTGTGCACAAGCAAGAAAGAGCCCAGTTTGACTTTCATATTCTAGATTGGGACTGCAAAGATGACAGCCAGGAAAACAGCTTTTCTGCTTGTATCCTAAGAAGAATTTGATTCAGACCAAGAGGGCATGTCTACACGAGATGCTACTCTGCAGTAGCATTGGCAGACACTAACCATGATATGACGCTACCGAGCAGTAGTAACGAGCTACTGCACAGTGTCTCGTTGCTACTGTACAGTAGTGGCTGGAAAAAAATGTATAGGGAAGCTACTGCACAATAATGCTGGCTACTGCATAGTCATTTAGTATTTGGTTATGCAAGTACTAAATGACAGTGCAGTAACAACTACGCAGTCCATCACTCGTGTAGACACAGCCAGAGACTATCAGTGGTGGAATTGCTAGCACCATAATCTTGTAAACCATGCTTCATGTAGAGGCAACAGCAACTTTTGGCTCAATCGGTAACACTCATGGCAGTGCCTAAGAGTGTGAGTTCAGCTTCTTCAGTTGGACTTGCTCTCACCTGGCATGTTAGTGCAAGAGTAGCATCTTTTGCACTTATGTTTATTTTTTTTAGTTGATAAAATATGATTATCTAACAGTCTCTGAATTTGAATTCTTCCCAGGCCTTCAGGTATCACTTGAGACAAGAAAAGGGCTCCCCCGTTGCTCTCTCTCTTGCTGTTTAACTCAGTGACTGCCTTGTTAACAATAATCACAAGCTGGAGAACCACAGACTGCTTTTCCTCTGTTCGCTATGATTTGGTCTGTCCAGCGTGGGTTAGTGCTCCCTTGGCATGGGCAGATCTAGGATTTTGAAAAGTGGGGTGCACATGGTGAGGTTTTTCATCACATACAATACAACACACACTTTTCTCCAGGTAAAAAGAAACTAGAAGCTTTACTAATGTGCTAAGGGATTAGGGCTATATTATTCAGTGTAAGATTGAAGAAAAAACAAATATAATTTTATTGGAATGTGCATTAAGTTGCTCTATCATACATTAAGTATAAAAAACAGAATAGGCAAAAATAATCAAAAGATGCTGTCTCTTTAGTTCTATAGTCCTTAAAATTAAATGTACATCTCTTTCAGAATCATAAAACAAAATCAAGCCTTCTTGGGCATCTTGACACTGCATCTAATGCTTCACTGAAAGTTTTTTCCACAGTTAAGCTGATGTTTTTAGCTAGAGTCAAAAGCAGTCTGCAGGGTTGTAAAATGGGAGCTACATTACCAGGAGCACCTAACAGGCACTGTAATTGCAGAAGAAAGAATGGCTCAACTGGTGGAACATTAGGCCTCTTAGAGGAGAGACAGTCATTAACACCTGTGGAATGAAGAGTTTAGAAGGAATCTAGTGGATTACAATGAGCTATGAAGTCAAGTGCTCTGGGTCAAGATTCAGGGGGGGCAGGGGGAGA